CTGGGAACAGATGTACTGGTGGTGTTGGTGGCGCTGGGAACAGATGTACTGGTGGTGTTGAGTCCAGCAGAAGTTGTTGCGTTGTTAGAAGAGGTGCTGAGGGTTGGTGTTGTGTTGGTTGAGTCTGTTCCAGAGGCCACTAATGGAACAAGAACAGTTTTAAATAAACTCAGTCAATCTTATGATGGCTGTGACCGCGGCAGGAATCAAAGGTATCGATGTGGGAGTTTAATGAGGCTGCAAAGTGCCGTGTATGCTACTCCACTGCCTTCATTTCACTCTGCTCACCTCACCTGTGAGCTCAGTAAACAGTCACTAGTTTTAATGAATAAAACAACATGAAATCATGCTGCAATTATAGGGAAAACGTGATCATGGAGGATGATGAACTTTAGAAGTTTTAGATAGATCTTCCCACAAGGTAAAGCGAAAACTATCTGTCTCACCGACTGTTGCAAAATAACATCCCGTGTTGCTTCCGTCAGATCACTTCTTTCACACTAACAGCTGTTAAACACCAAATAAAACAGAGATCGAGTCTGTAGCATCTTTCCTCCTGACGAGGCTTCACCACCACACGTGAAGCCTCCCAAAATATCTGATGCATCTCTCACATGCTGAGGTTTGCTGATTTTTGAGGTTAAAATACTAACGATGAAGTAAATGATGAAGACAACAGACCATAGAAAGGCGATCTGTGCTGCACTGAAACATGAGCAAGGCGAATCTCAGGGTTCGAGGCTGAGACTCACACACAAAAGAAAACCTTAGAAATCTGAATGTAACTATTTCTGGACAGTTTATCAATCAGCAGGTTAATAAATGATGGAAACAATCAGACCGAGTGAGCTCAGCTGCAGACCGTCGCTACACTAAAGGACTATTCTTTCTCTTTTATATCTTCGACAGCTTTAGTTTCCATTGTTTAACATGTTTGTGTTCCTCTGATGCTCGATTTCTATTTTGTTTCGAGTCTGAGACGGAACAGAAAAGAGTAAAACAGAAGATCTAAAAAGGTGTAGTTTAGGTGTAGTTTTCCAACCTGAGGCGGTGAGGCTGAGAGCCAAGCAGAGCGCGAGCAGTTTCTCCATCTTTCTGCAGGAAATCCGAAAGTTTGTGACAAAGATCTCAGTGTGAGCGGCCGCCGGAGTCTGTTTCCATCCAGAGAAAGACTCCTTTATACACCCGCCTCACCTGCACACAGGTGGGGGAGAGAGAGGGGGGAGGGGCTGCGTTCCTCCGCCTCCCATCATGCCTTTGGGTTTCAGCAACAGCAGAGCTCCACTCTGTGGTCACAGCTCAGTTTCCTGTTTCATTCTTATTTGTCTGTTTGTGCAGCTGTTTAAACCCGAGAGATAAAAACAAACCCAACGAGGAATCTCTGATCCGAGTGTGCCGACACGGAGCGCTGCAGCTTTAGGGATGGATCCATAACATCGTAGATCAATATGGAAATAATCGCACACTCACCAGCGTCAGCAGCCCGTTAAGTGTAGACTGTACAGAAGTGTGTTTGTGCCACAGTTTTTCAGATTTGTGTCAAAGCATGTGGAAAAACTCTTCAGTTTATCTTTCAACTCATCTTTGTTTATTTTCTATGAATTTTTACCTTCTGATTAAAACAGTCGGTTTAGGAGAAACTGTCGCTCGACACAGACTGAAGGTTGCCAGGTTTCACCGGCTGGCTGAGTCGATGCTTCGGGCATGCGTGGCCGCACTGAGCGGGGTGTTCCCCTCACAGACGGGAGGTTAGCTGGACGAAGAGCAGCCGAGTCGTCTGTTTGCATTTATACGTCACAAACTGTACAATAAAGGACATTTTCCGGTTTCACTGAAGTTAACAAATGTTGGAACATTGTTGCTGTTTTGTGTGTAGCTGCGATTGATGCATCGCACAAAACTGGTACATTTATGAGGACGTGTTTGTTTTTTTAGTCAAGGAGCAATTTCACTTCACTTTTCAAGCTTAAGGTGGAAGACAACATTTCAGTGCTTCGAACAATAACTCAGAAGAAATGTTGACATTCAAACGTGTTTCCATTTTTCCACCGTAAGAAAAACGAGTGGACATTAATGCTTCAGCTACCTGTGAGTCCATCGATGAATCGTGTGTGTGTGTGTGTGTGTGAGCGAGCTGAGGTCTGTGCCGTGCTTTTTTTCATGAGACTAACCAATAAGTCTCATGAAAAATAAAGTTACTAAAGCTTTGAGGTAAATGTGGTGCAGTGCGCCCGTGTTCCTCTTTAGACTTGCTTCTGTATCTGTAACTACTAGTTTAATACTGTAACTAGTATTACAGTATTAAACTAAATCAGTACAAACTGAAAGCTGATGTAACTGTAGACTGTATATTAAAGATGGCTGTGGCCACCATCAAGTCAGGATTTAATTTGTGAAACCCCACAGTGAAGTCTTAAAATGTCTACATGCATCATCACGCGCGCAGCTTCACTCCAAACGAGACAACGAGGTGCAAAATAACATTCATGCAGTTTTAGTAACACTGAGGGCGTAAAGACATCAGGAAAGCGTCAACTGAGGTCAAAGGTTGGTGAGAAATGCAGTCGTTTTCACAGATTCACAAACATCTTTAAACAACCAGAGGAGTCGCCCCCTGCTGGCTGTGAGAAAGAATGCAGGTCGTTCCCTTTTTGACATACTGCCTGAAAATTGTGACGCAGTCACAAAATCTTTGTTCTTTGAAACAAAGCTGCACTAAGTGTCCATGTCTCATGTTGCTGCCTGATTCAGGTGAGGTGAACAGGGTGGAGCTGCAGAGCAGCTGACTGTGATTGGCTGATTAACCACAGGTAACCACAGCACACACTCGTCTTACACAGGAAGTCATTGGCCTCACAGGGGTGCGCAACGAAGCAGACGAATGAGTTATGATGTGCTCAAATATGCTAGAACATAAACATATGCTAATATCTGCAGGGGATAAATGACTTAATTATGGGCTTTTCTGCATTAATCTCTGGCACCCGTTCCACAGATGTCTGACACATGATTGGACTTTCATGCTACTTTAGCCATGCAAGCCCCTTTTTACCGGAGGCAGAAAGCCTGAGTTAACAAACCTGAACAAAGCTGGATGACTCAACTCAACACTGAACCCTGATCAAACGAGAAGCACAGCTGAGAGTTTGAGATGCTTTTTATTAATGATTATGAGCAAAACTGATCAACAGCAACCATCTGAATCAAAGTGAATTATGGGAGATGAAACTGTGAAGTCCCCTAAGTGGGTGATGATGTCATTAGTTTAGCTGTAGGCATCTTTCTCAGTCTGGGATTGGCTGGATGGAGCAGCCACTGGGGGTTCAGGGGTCAGTGCAGGCTGAACAGGCTCCGCCCCCGATGCACCTGGAAACCAAAGGAAAAAGAAAAGTCAGAAAGATGGTTTCCCTTACTCTCTGCTCTGAGCTGTGAGTCAAAGTTTACAATGATAATCCGATAAACTCTGTAAAGGTGAAGAAAAGTAGATTTAACAGGAAACAGGAAGATTTGAATCGAACAGCGCTGAACGAGGAGAAAGGACCTCAGGTGAGACAGCAGAGGAGCAAACTGAGGGCACAGGTGAAACCAGTAGAAACCAGTAGAAATCTCTGTCACCTGTCAGACTCGTCAGTTTGGGTGCCAGTTGGGTCCAGAAGGAGCAGGAGCTCTGACTCAAACCCCGCTGATGATGGAGGTTAGTGCTTAGCTCCAGGTAGGTGGGCGGAGCCTCTGAGGACAGCACTGGCTGCCAGCGGGGCAGAACTGACTCCGCCCACGATCGGGATGGGTTTGGGTTCCTGAGAGCAAAAAAAAAATGAATAAATCGGCTCCAGACGCAGGACTCGGAGGTTCGAGCGTTAGCCTCACCCGCTCCGTATGAAGCTGGAGACGTAGGTCATCATGGCAAGAGAGAGGCGCCGATCAGAGGAGGCGAAGCGCTGAGAGCTCATTGGATGATGAGGTGTCCCGAAGGCGAGCTGAACATCCAGAGGAAGGTACACGTCGGCCCTGCAGACACACACAGGAGAGCCTTTTACACCCAACAGCCCCTCTGATGCAGACACAGTGTAGGTCACCATCATAACGCTGGGTGAGGTCTGCTGTGAGGAACGGATGGTCCAGGAAGTGACATCCAGGGTTTATCTGTACAACTCCGCCCTCCTTTCAAGTATGTTCTGTGTTAGAGGCGACGGATGAACATTGATGTTTAGCGCTGAGGTAGAAATGCGCACCTGTCGTGAGCGCTGGAGGTGGGTTGGTGGTACAGGAAGACGTTAGCTCTGTTCTCCGCCCAGTGCCTCGCCATCTGGAGCGTGGGACAGATGATGAACAGGTCTCTGCAAAGCAAACACATGAAAGCGTTCACCAGAAACACGACAACAGTGTGTGTGTGTGTGTGTGTGTGTGCGTGTCGGTTCTGACCTGGTGGCGTTGTTGAGCGCTCTGGAGAACAGGTTGTATCCAGCAGCTGAGGGACTGTGATCCAGCGAGTAGAACCACGCCGCCGCCTCCTTCAGCAGCTCATTTCCCGTGGCTCCGCCCAGCGAGCGGCTCAGAGCCTCGTAAAACGCCGTCTTGCTGTCAGCTCTGCCCTGCAGAGACTCAAAGTCCTGATGAAAATTATGCTGCCGTTACTTTCTTAAACTGAACCTCTTGAGTAGATTTACAGGTAGTTTAAGCGTGACCTCTGACCTTTATCTTGCGAGCACGGCTGATCAGACCATCGTGCTCTGATGTTCCCAGCAGCAGGTCCACTCTGTGGAAGGACGACCGAGAGACGGACTGACGGACCGGAGACCAGGACTGAAACGGCCCGCTGACCGCCAACAGCTGCGGGGCGAACACAGCGCAGGTGAGACACGTGACATGAGGACTTGCACCAGCGCAAACCGTCCGGGACGTCTACCTTTGTCTGAGCGGCGTTGAGCGTGTGGACAGATGACGCTCTGAGGCAGGCCGCGAGGTCAGAGGTCACACAGCCGAGCTCCTTGGCCAGATCGAGGGCCTGACGTCTGGAGGTGGACGGAGTCTGAACCAGTGATGGAGAAAACGCTGACCCGCCCTGCAGGAGGAGATAAAAGCGATGAAGAACTTTGAGGTTGGCTCGTGGTCATCGTTCCTCTTCGGAGCATCTGCTCCACTGCTGATAAAACAACTGTTAGTCTCCGCCTGCTGTCTGGAGGAAGGAAGGACGACTCGAGGTCTCACCATCAGCATCATCCTCTGGAACAGAGGACGAGACGAAGACAGGAGGTGAAGGCTGGTGATGTCAGCACCACCACGCTCCGCCCCCACCGTCACTCTGCTGTTGTCTCCGCCCATCAGCGAGATGTGGTCTTTGACCCAGCGCAGCGCTGCCTCCTGGTCCGAGAGGCCGTAGTTACCATGGAGACCAGACTCACCTGGAGAAAGGGGTGGACAGGAGGCCAGGTGAGTCATTTAGCGAGTACGTTTTTCTCTCTTTCTTTGTTTTTAAGTCACCTGTGCTCAGGAATCCCAGCGCCGCCGTCCGGTAACTCGCTGTTACCACGACGATATTACCCATAGCAGCGAGGATGGAGCCATCCAACAGTCCTGGGTTCTCATTGGCTGAAGGGTTGAAGAAGAAAACCAGGACTGGAACACGCCCCCTCTGGTTTAACAGCAAACAACAGAAAAAATGTGATCAAAGAAAATAAAATGTGAATAAATGAAATAACGAGTGCGTTGAGTTTTCACCAGGTCAGCCGGAGTGAAGATGTTGAGGTAGAGACAGTCCTCACTGGAGGCTGCAGAGGCTGCGTCACCAGGCTGGATGCAGCTGGGGCTGACGGGTGAAGAGATAAAGATGATCATTGATCGGGTTAATTCATATATGGAATCTGCCGATGGACAATGCCACTTCCTGTACAGGTGAGGCCGCTGTTTTTCACTATATCCTGGTTGTGGGTGCCTTGGGTGACCACGTGCTGTAGGACAGGCGTTTGTGGTCACACGGGTAGTTACCGTGGTTTGGTGGCGTCCCAGGTTCCCATCCACTCAGCCGGCTGAGCTGCTTCAAAGCGGAGCGATCCTATTGGAGGACGAGCGTACGGGACTCCGAGGAACTGAACGACTGTCCTCCTGTCTGATGCCAGTGCTGTTTCCACGGCGACGCCTTGCAGCACCCCCTGGCCCGGGATAGAAACGGACGTCTGTGACAGCTCTGAGAAAACACCGCGTCTCAGGTACACCTGGGGGGCGGGCTCTCTCACGACCAGTCGACAGGAAGACGAGGCGGGGGATTCAAGGGCGGAGCTTAGGCCACAGACTGTCGTGTCAGGGTACAGAACGCAGCGCGTGGCGGACTCCACCTCACTGAGTGACACAGCTGCACAAGACTCCGCCTCCTGGCAGGCTGATGGGAAGCAGAGCAGAGTCAGGATCTGACAGTGAGGTACACCAAAGAGTAGTTAAAAACCCCCACATATGGTTACCATGGAGACACCAGTTCCTGGTCATATCTCTGTCATCGGCGACATCACGGCTCACGTGGATGACATCATAGGTAGAGAGAGACGGGTCGACGAGGACTGAAGAGTTGGCGAGGAGACTCCAGTCGTCCAGCGAAACTGTGAAAAATACTCAGGGGTGAGCGATAAAAGAAGTAATGGCAGTACTTTAAGTACTTTTGACAGTATTACTGCGAGTATCTGCATGTGGGTGGAGTCTTACTGTTGGTTTTGGTCGGTGGCAGGCTGAACGGAGGACAGAGAGCAGGAGACGGACTCCACTGATTCACTGCAAAGCAGAACACAGCCTTTATTCACACAGAGCTTCGCCTCCTTCAGCCTCATGTTCAGATAAACTGAAGGCCTGCTGCCTTAAAGTGTGTGTGTGTGTGTGTGTGTGTGTGTGTGTGTGTGTGTGTGTTTTCAGTACCGGGTTTCTGGTACCAGCCAAAGGGGTCCGGTGTGGTCTTCACTGCTGATGGTCTGCAGTCCTGAGTCCTCCAGGTCGTCACGTCGTCTTCGCTGCAGGTCTGAACCCCGAGACTAATCAGAGCTAAACACACCACATCAGAGGCTCCTGCACACGCACACACACACACACACACACACACACACACACACACACACAC